ATATACGCCTGTAGAAAAGCCTTTTTTATACCATATTTTCATACAGTTTTTTATAAAATAAAGCTTTCGATAAAATGCTACGGTTTTTTAACTTAGTTAAATATTTTTCGGAGTTTACCAAGGTCTAATCGCTAATACGGGATATTCACACTAACTGCGCCGGCGATCTTGTTATTTCACAGGCTTTTTCGATTCATGAAATAATTTTTTCAAGACTCATAGTTTCGAACTTTTTACATAATAAGTTAACTATCAATAAATTAACTATCAACTATCGGCATATTTTTGGCGAGTGAAAATCGGTGCTAAATAAGCAAAATAATGAACATGTTTATTACTTATCGCTTTAAATCTCCGTCCAAAAATGAAACGGAGAGCCGCTAACAGATGGTTATTTTTGGAATTTTGTTATTGCTACCATCATGGTTACTTTGAGTGCCTCCATTTCTAGTGACGTACAAATTATCAAAAACTTGAAGTCAAAAATTTGACTTTTTGCTGTATTTATATGTATTTATTAAACTTACAAAACTGGATGATTAGTGAACATAAAAGTTTTTTCACAAGCTTATCGTGACTTGGGAATGGTAACGTTCGAATGGGGCTGACAATCCAGTCTAGAGCTAACATCCCATTACATCTCGAAACAGGCCAAATGCTTCTGTATCGAGAGATCAGCTGATTTGGCAATCTCTTCAGGAAGCAAAATGGAGTTCAAAAATGGCTAGCAAACTGACCGCCAAGACAGTTAAATTAGGCCAGCAGCACAGCTGGATGACCAAACTAAGAATTGCAGCTGATCAAAGTATAAAAGTGTTTTATTCAAAAATACTTGATGCGGCCCCTTGTAGATTCTAAAAATGTTGGCCTTTGGAAAAATGCGTCCAACCAAGGCGTTTGTTTGGGTGAGCATTTTATGGCGTTTTCTTGGCACGTAGATAGTTTCAGGAATTTTTGTGAATAACGTTGTACTCGTTGCAGAAAGGCTTGGAAATCTTGCTTGACCTATAGATATATCTCAAAAAAATGAAAAACCTAAAAATTTCAGTAAAATTTTAGAATTTATAAATATTTAAAGTTACGTCTGGCCTGCTCAGCAAATTTCATTAATTTCATTATTCTTCGGGATGCCATTACCACTGACTATTTGGAAGGTCTTGTTATTCTTGATGTGAATCTTTGAATCACGTCTTCTGAAATTTTTATGCTGAAAAAGAAGCTTACCAGCCGTACACAAAATGACGAACTTTATTATCCATACAGTCATGATGCAACAGCGTGCAGTTGGCTCTTCAGATTTCCGTTCGATCAGAGAAAAGAAGCCCAGATCATGTGGCCTGACTGGCCAAGATTTATTCGGATCAGCGTGAAAGTGATTGGAGGAATAGGGATATGTGAATAACAGGCAGCCATCGATTGATGGACATCCTGTTGAGGATTAGTGAGGTCTGTTAACAGCTGCCACCTGTTTCTCCCTCACTACAAGCAATAATTTTGATGGAGCCAATCGTTGCAGAGAAATTGTCAAACACGCTCCGCATTACTAGCGTGGATTCCTCGATACCACCGAGACGCAGGTTTGGTACAGGCACAATCGACCTTTCTGGCAACCCCAAATTACCACCTGTCCTCCTCCTCAAATTTTCTTGCTAGCTAATTCAGGCCAGTGGTACACAAGAACGGTGAAATCTAGTAACGTACAAATATAGTGGAGGATCAAAGTGGGAAGTATAAATCCGCAAAAGTTCTAATCGCCAAGATTTCATCAAGAATGAGCTGAATTTTAGTTTTTCTGGCTCCATGGCTAGCTTACTAAACTCCCTCCTCTAGGATTTTTTTTTTTCTTTTTTTGACTCATAGGATTGAACGAGTTTTCTTTTGCAGACTTTTTTTTCGCTTGGTTTCAGCCCTTTTTTAATAGGCATATGCCGTCAGCAGTCCACCAAATAAATCAACGATTCGCAAAGGATAATTTTCCCAGAGGCACAATTTGGTCTTTGGCGCATCACAATTCAGTTGCATTGAGGAACGCCCAAAGATTAAAAAAAGTGGTTTCTTGCATTACTTCCAAAAGAAAATAGGGGAAAAAAACGGCGATAGCTCATCATAGCAGTGAAAGAGAAGTAATTTGATATGTTTTACATCGATGT